TCTACATAACACACCACAAACATAGGACACACAACACTAGGTGTGGGGTCTACATAACACACCACAAACATAGGACACACAACACTGGGTGCGGGGTCTACATAACACACCACAAACACAGGACACACAACACTGGGTGCAGGGTCTACATAACACACCACAAACACTGGACACACAACACTAGGTGTGGGGTCTACATAACACACCCCAAACACAGGACACACAAGGATACTTCGTGGCAATAACAGGAGCAACTTATTGAATGGTGAATAAAATAAAAAATAATCATACAACAGGCCCGTACGCAAAATTTTTGAAAGGGGGGAGGGTTTAATTTGTGAGATTAAAAGCTAACACATATTGTGCGAAGCATGCTAATATTATGAGGGTCTATGGACATGCCTCCCAGAAAATGTTTTAAAAGTAGGTACTTGAGATTAAATCTGTAGTTAATTTTGTATGAAATATAACTTAAACAGTTGCATGTCTGTTTACATAAAATCCACAAACATCCAATGAAAAGTCAACAAATCATTATTCTGTTGCAACACTCTATGGGGAGCTAGACTTAAATTAGCATAAATATGTATGTTTTATTGTAGTAAAGTACTGTTGTATCTACACGTAGAGTAGTTATTAATTGTTAAATTATATTACTAATTTAAACAACTCTGTACAACAATAGTATATTAGCTGCTAGCTGCAGAACCCGTCACTTTCACAAAATGTGAAATCTCAACTTTGTATGTATCTCCGCATGGACCCAACAAACATTCTTGCCAAATTTGGTGAAGATTCATCAACAGGGGGCAAAGTAGTAGTAAAAAGTGAAATGCAAAACCTAAAACTTGTATGTATTTCTCCATGGACCCAATGAACTTCCATACCAGTTTTGGTGAAGATCCATCCACACCTTGCGAAGTAGTTACATGGACATACAATAGACAGTACTACTATATTTATATATATTTCAATCATAACATGTTAGCATGCTCCATTCTTCTAAATACATAGCAGTGTCATAATGATAATGTATTAAAAGGTAGAGCACCCAGTCTTTCTTCGGTTTGTGTACACCTCAGGTAGTTAATCAGCCTGCGTGGGCTTTGACGAACGAGAGACAACTCTGATAACCAAAAGTGTAACGAACACTTGTATATTAGTTTGACTCGTTTTAATATATTATTTTAAAACAAGTGGACTGTGTTTCTGTTTGTCTATTGTTGAAATTTATCGCCAACAAGTCACAGACACCTACTGTAAAAATCCTGCCTACAAAACCTGGCAGTAGCAATACGGCTTCGGATTCCAATTACAAAATGTTAACACAAGTTATTGCATGCGACTATTTCAAGCCAAAAAATGCTAACACTTCATCAGAAGAATGTAGATTATGTAGAAAACGTTGAATACCATAAGTAGTTGCGCTATAACTATATAAGCATAATTTGTTAACACACACAAAAAAAGGAGGTTCGGCCGACCCCTCCCCCCTGCGTAGGTGTGTGTACAATAAAATTTCACCCATCGAAAGGATTTTTTTTTGTTTGATGTTAAACACAAAGCTATACAATGGGCTATCTGTGCTCTGCCTACAGCAGATATTAAAACTCTATTTCTAAAGTTATAAGCCCTTAGACCGACCGCTAAGCTATCAGGAGCTCATCATCAAATAAAAAACACATAATTCTGTGGAAAGTTATTTATTTGGATAAAGTATTCCCGTCACACGAAGCTTGACCTTTTCGCCTCACGTTTCCTTTTTCCCTTGACGGACATGCATCTTTTGGATTTCGGTCGGTTGGACACTTATGCCCACTCCTTTTTGAAAAATGTTGCATGTAT